TCCTCGTGGCCCTCCTCTGGACACGCTCCAGCAGGTCTGTGTCTTTCTTATGTTTGGGACTCCAGACCTGGATGCAGTACTCCAGGTGGGGTCTCACGAGAGTCGAGTAGAGGGGCAGAATCACCTCCTTTGACCTGCTGGCCACACTTCTTTTGATGCAGCCCAGGATATGGTTGGCCTTCTGGGCTGCGATCGCACATTGTTGGCTCATGTTGAGCTTCTCGCCAATCAGCACCCCCAGGTCCTTCTCCTCAGAGCAGGTTCATCTCTGAACCTCACGGTACAGGCCTTGTTCTACCTACTAATGAGCAGCCATATGCCACAAAAGAACAAAATCTATCAGGAAGCACCAGCTGCTCTTCTAAGAAGAGGGACTCGTACCAATTTAGGGCGCGAAATGGGCTTTAACAGTGAGCTCGGCAGCAGTTGCGTGTATTTGTGGCCTTGAGGCAAACATGGTAACGGGGCAAGAAGGACGCTTGGTGTTTAAAACTGTGGGTTTTGCAACCCACCTCCTGCTCAACCCTCTCCTTCTGATGTATCCACAGGTTTCTCCGTGGCACGTGCAAGAAGACAGACGGGACCTGTTCCTTTTCCCACAAGGTGTCCAAAGACAAGGTCTGTATGGCTTCCCAACGAGCATGGTGCGGCTCTACGAGCGAGCAGACCTACGCTGGTAGTTGTAGGGAGCTCTGCCTCGTTGAGTGCTTCCAGCAGAGTTTGTAGTTTGCTTGCGAAGCTCTTTGGGCTCGTGATGGGGTTGTGAGAGCAAAGCGAGCCTCTTCAGCTGGCACGGTGAATCGGTAGATGAAGGCGTTGAGCAGCGGATTGGAAACTGGAGCACCTGGGGCCGCGTTGGGTAATGTCCGTTGGGTTAAGGAGCTCTTCAGCTCCTGGGATCGGAGAGAAAGAGCACAGGAGTAGAGTTGAGTTGCTCCTCATCCTTAGCTACCTCCATAAGATCAGCCTTCCCTCTAAATCACCCCACGTTGGGGTCGGAGGAGGAGTATGTTATAACGGACAAGAGCTCAGAGGTATAAATGAACCTTTCTAAAAAGCCAGGCAGGGAAACCGCCTGGCAGAACGGCTTTTGAGTTCATCATCAGTTTCAACCTTCTTCATGTATTTGGGGCTCCGCGGTTTTATTACGCAGAGCGAGGTGGAAAAATAATTAGGTTTTCTTTTAATGATTATCAGTTGACGATTTAGCAGATTAACCTCTGTTCAGCGGCTCGGATCTCCGGTCAGATGTAGCTTTGGAGACCTCAAGCGTTGAAGCCGAGGCGAAGTTGATATTGAAGGTTAAGCGTAGCTGCGGGTCCTTCTCTGGGCTGGGATGCAGTTCGAGCACGTATTTACGTTTCAGCTTTGTTGGACGGATTTGGAGGATCGTTTCTCTGCTACAGACAAAGTATCACCCAGACAACAGCAGTAAGGTTAATCCCACCGGCGTATTGAAACGCCAACCAAAGCGGTGTCGCTACACGAGGAGCAGTTTATCATCGGCTCCGGTGTCATGGCTCCGCTGTCGGGATGGAGATGCCAGAAAGCGGGATGCGAATGAAGACAGGTTTTCCTGGAGAAGCCTGTGAGGCGCAGTCCTTCATCATGTTGCTCCGTGGGTCTGCAGCCCCCCTTGGCTGTATTTCTGGCATGTCATTTGTCGAAAGCAGGTTTGTCAAAGCTATGCCTGGGGCACGGCAGGGACCGGAGCTCGCCTGAGCCATGCTGGATCTGGGAACGCTGCTTTTAATTACTTGAGCTTTGGTTATTTAGCCCATGCCCTGCGAATTGTCCTTATAGCACCTTCTTCTCCCCGCTCCCTTCGAGCATCACCGTCCTCCGTTCCCAGCCCACAGCATCATGTAGGTAATTACAGTGCAATTACTGACCTGTAAAGGATTTAACCCATGGGCTGTCAGGTCTCATCAGCATCTGGGACAGGATCTTTTGCAACACCGTTTGCCTTTGGGCACACAGTTTTCTTGTCTCCCTTTCCCTCTGTTTGCCTAAGGCACGTTCGCTGTCAGCAGGGAACTCATAAGTTATCCTGGCGGTGAGCAGAGTCGCTCCGAACGAGACACAAAGCGCCATATGTTTTTTACATGTATCTCTCTTCAGAGTCACTTAATCACGAGTATATAAAATGGAGAAACTAGACTGGGGACAGCTGTACTCCCTGACTCCGTGGTGTGTCAAATGAGGGATGGGAATGAGAATTGATAGAAGGAAAGAGGGCTGGTTTGGGTTTTTGTGTTTTTTTTTTTTTTCTTCCCATAACTTATAGTTACACTTAAGAAATAAAGAAGCCAAGAAAGAAGAAAGCTTTGCAAAGGCGCTGCCTGTTGGTGTATCCAGAATTGTCATAATTAATGCAGATTTGGAGCAGACATGGGGTCGGTGACTTCATTTCACCCAAGTGAGTGATGCACAAGCGCTCATCTGCGCCTCTGAGCCCGAAGGATTGAGACTCATCCAGACTGCACAAGACTGTCAGTTTACAGCTGTACCAGCGAGTTAAATGGTATTTCAGCAGGTGCTGGAGTTTGGGTATGGTCCCAGGGCCCAAACCTGGGTGAGACTTGGGAACTGGAGGTGGTCAAGGAGATGTTGCGGTCGGTGGTTTGGCCGCAGCCGTGTCCACCAAAAGACTTGACGGCTGGATGACGATGGGATTGCGCCAACTGGTTTTGGTACCTGGGAATGTCCCTCGGCATGTTTAATTTGGTGGTTGGAGATGTTGCCTCAAATTTCACAGAATCACAGAATGGTCAGGGTTGGAAACGACTTCTGGAGATCATCCAGTCCAACCCCTGGCCAGAGCAGGGGCACCTCCAGCAGTTGCACAGGACGGCGTCCAGGTGGGTTTGGGATGGCTCCAGAGTGGGAGACTCCCCCACCTCTCTGGGCAGCCTGTGCCAATGCTCTGCCATCCTCACAGGAAAGAAGTCCCTCCTCAGGTTGAGATGGAACTTCCTATGTTCCAGTTTGTGCCCGTTACCTCTTGTCCTGTCACTGGGCACCACTGGAAAAAGACTGTTCCCATCCCCCTGGCACCCTCCCTTTAAGGATTGATAAGCGTTGGTAAGATCCCCCCTCAGTCTTCTCTTCTCCAGACTAAAAAGCCCCAAGTCCCTCAGCCTTTCCTCCTAAGAAAGATGCTCCAGTCCCCTCATCATCTTTGGAGCCCTTTGCTGGACCCTCTCCAGCAGTTCCCTGTCCTTCTTGACCCGGGGAGCCCAGAACTGGGCACAGTGCTCCAGATGTGGCCTCCCCAGGGCAGAGTAGAGGGGAAGGATGACCTCCCTCCACCTGCTGCCCACACTCTTCTTGATGCACCCCAAGATGCCATTGGCGTTCTTGGCCACCAGGGCACATTGCTGGCTCATGGTCATCCTGTTGTCCCCCAGGACTCCCAGGTCCCTCTCCACAGAGCTGCTTCCCAGTAGGTCAGCCCCCAATGCATGATGCATGGGGTTATTCCTCCCCTCCAGAAACACCACTGTGTCTTGGTGCCTTAAGCAGAACCTCAGGCTTTTGGCTCCTGGGCTCTATTTTGGGTGGATAGATGGGAATCACTGGCTGCAGTATGGTGTGGCAAACTCAACCTTTCCCCCATAGCAGCACCTCGCCAGTTAGGAATTGGAGAATGATAATGATAGTATCGTCACGGTAATAAAACTGAATTAAAAGGGGTGATCGTGCTGAAGGCTCCTGCAGAAGACCTGGTTTGCCACCGTCAGTTTGGGGACAGGGTCTCTGGGAAGGGACCCCACGGGGCGCGGGTGGCCTCTGCCAATCTCACCTTCTTCCTTAGCGGTTCGCCGCTACCGAAGCATCATCTAAACCCAAGCTGAGTCGTTAAATTAACAAACCTACAAACGAAGCAGCTCTCTTACGTGCCTTAGAAACAAACGCTTTTCGGAGCGCCCGTTTCTGGCCGTGCCCGTCGCGCTCCGTGGGGAAGGAGGATTATATTTCGCGGGATTAGGCGCCTCCGGGGGCGGTTTGGAGGTCTCCCCACGTCGCCACCCTCCTCGTCAACGCAGGCTGGAAGAGAAACAACCTCCTCTGTGGAGTTCCAGCCTGTTTTCAGGGTGATTTATAGCGACGGGGACGCTGCTACCCAAAGCAAGAGGCGACTTTGCTTTTCAACTCCCGGAGCTCCCTCTTAACCCGGGTGATTACTAGCAAAGGTGGCGTTCGCCTCATTTATCAGCGGTGGGGAAAGGCAGGTGAAGGCGCTCGGCAGAAGAAGGCAGCAGTTTTTCCCCCAGCTCGGCGGGCTTTATTTTTGGAGCGGATCCCACCTGCTCCTGGGATGAGGGATTGGGGAGGGGGACAGCTCGGTTTTGGGGTTTTAATGCGATGAATGATTTTCTTGGTGTGGTTAATGATGGTGCGGTGTCGGCTGTGGGTTACCGGTTTTGCTGATGCCTTGTTAATTAACTCTCGATTTCACTTTGTGGTTGTCTGCGTAGTGGGGGAGAACCCCACAAATTCCTCATCGGAGGAACTTTGGGTTGTTGTCATTGTGTGTCTCACCTTGATGGGAAGTCACTAAGGATGAAACCACGTGCCCGGTCCAGGAAGGGAAGGACGAAATGCTTGAAGGGTGCTTAGCTATTAGTTTAAGGACAAAACTCTTGCTCAACCTTGGAGTGATCCTGTGCCTCAGTTTCCCCACTGAAAAATGGGGACAATCCCTCTGTTTTCTCTGGGAAAGCTGCATGGGTTATCTGAGCTTTCCCCATCCTAAGCAGCAAACCCCTTGCTCCAAGCCGAGGACGCTCTCCGGGGCGGAGGGCTGCTCCAGATGGCCACGTTGCTTTGCAGATGCTTTCGAAAACCAAATTATCTCTCTGGCAATGGAAAAAGGAGCCCGGAGGAGAAGGAAAACGGGCGGCTGGGGAATTTTTGCTTTGCAGGGGCTGCAGGGCAGAGCCTTCGGCTGAGGAGCATCCGTCGAAGCGCCGTGCGGGGGAATTTCTCTGCGAAGCCGCCGGCGCGTCCCGGTGATTGAGAGTAACCGGTAAATCTGAATGAATAGGTTTGTGAGTGAAGGTTAGCGAGAGGCTAGGACTCGGGCAACCGCCCGCTGCTGCTACAACAGCTTTTCCCCTTGAGGAACTCGAAAAGAATCAGCATTTTTCTCCCTAATAGAGCTTCAAAACTCTGTTGTGAGCAATTTGGAAATTCACGTTGAGTTTCGGGTTCATTAGCTGCCGGCTCCAAAGCGTGTACATAGTCAAAGCTGTCTAATACGGACGCACCGCACCAGTGCCTTGAATTAATGTTATTGTTATTTGTGTGGACGTAGTGGGGTGCAAACAAGGTTAATTGAAATGAGAGTGCTGCTTCCTCTTGATAATGGCTCAGGCTTGACAGCTAGGAGGAGTTTATTTTTGTAGAAGAGCTGCCTTTATTATCCCTTTTTATTAGAGCTAATTTGGGCTCTATATCAAAAACTACATTAAGGGAATCATTTACGGTCACACCACCACCACCGAAAAAGATAGCCCCAGAGCCCTGTCCTTTATGTTAATGTCTGCAGTTAAAAGACAATTAAAAATAAACTCTTCTCTTTTAAAGCACCCTTTGTTTTCTTTCCTCTTTGCTTCCCCCTCCTTCTCTCTATTTCTCTCTTTGCCTCGAGTGAGGCAATTTAGTTAAAACCCTAATGTGCCCTTCAGGGAAAGGGATTTTTTTTCCGGATAGCCCCGGCTGTGGTTATTACGGAATTGTAAATATTAGTTTGGGAATGCGCGAACCGGCGGGGACTGAGATGCTCCCGGTGAACGGTGGGATCGATACTGCGCCGAGCAGGAAGGGAATTCGGCGCGTGGGTGAGCAGCAAGGGATTGAGCAGGAGGAGCCGGATTGTTGCGGCGGCTTCGGGAAGCGCACGTTCCCATCAGCAGCTGCCTAGTGAGGTCGGGAAGTTGCCTGCGGTAGCCGGTGAGTTAAAGATGCTGAAATATCGCAGCAGGCTGGTAATTTGTTTTTAATTATAACAGCTGGCAGAAGGTGAAGTTTGTGGTTTGAGGACGATGAGGATCCTTGTGGGTTCGGTTTTCCCCGTCGGCTGTCACACTGCTAAAGCTCGGGAGCGGTGAGCGTGGGAGTGGGACTCTGCTCCGTGTATCTGACCTCTCTCGTCCTCGACCGCTCATGGCAGGAGACTGGACTCTCCTCTTCCTTTCCGTCCCTCCTGGAGCATCCCTCGAGCCAGGGCTCTCTCCCTCCTTTCCCTCCCTCCTGGAGCATCCCTTGATCCAGGGATCTCCTCCTCCTTTCTCTCTGTCCTGGAGCATCCCTCGAGCCAGGGCTTTCACCCTCCTTTCCCTCCCTCCTGGAGCATCCCTTGATCCAGGGCTCTCCTCCTCCTTTCCTTCCCTCCTGGAGCATCCCTTGATCCAGGGCTCTCCTCCTCCTTTCCTTCCCTCCTGGAGCATCCCTTGATCCAGGGCTCTCCTCCTCCTTTCCTTCCCTCCTGGAGCATCCCTTGATCCAGGGCTCTCCTCCTCCTTTCCTTCCCTCCTGGAGCATCCCTTGATCCAGGGCTCTCCTCCTCCTTTCCTTCCCTCCTGGAGCATCCCTTGATCCAGGGCTCTCCTCCTCCTTTCCTTCCCTCCTGGAGCATCCCTTGAGCCTGATCCCTCCTCCTCCTTTCCCTCCCTCCTGGAGTATCCCTCCTGGAGCATCCCTCCTCCGCCGCACATAGACAGGCATCATCACATCACTCACAGCTCTTGGGGGATGCCAGGCTGATGCCTTCGCATGATGCAGCCCTTTCCCCCAAAAAATAATGCTCGTGGAGGTGCAAGCGCTTGTTCTCCCCCTTGCTAGGATGCACCTTTTGGAGCCTTTATCTAATGATGTGCTCTGCACCCTCCCGCCTTCTCTGTACCCACAGAAGAGCTAAATAAAGGGGGCACCACCAGGATGCTGGTTTGGCCTTTGTGATGGCTGGACCCCCCTCCGGGAGGGTGCAGCAGGGCTGGACGTGAGCCCTGCGCCGCTGATCCCATCACAGTCGCTGTGTCTCCCCTTGGGAAGGGTGTTCTCGGTCCTCAGCCACGCGACGGTGCGGTCAACTTAGAGGGTTTTGCAAGCAAGGAGCCCGTGGGAAAACCGCCCCTTCTCTCCTCATCAAGGTTAGTTAGGAACGTCGGCAGAAGATGAACCTGTCACGTGCGTCGTGCCAGCAAAGCCTCCGTGATAGCCGAGTTTATTACGATTCCCCCATCCCTTCCCCGTGCTGTACAGAGGCAGTTTTGTGCTTTCCACCCCCTCTCCAGCATCCTGAAGGGATGCTAAGGCAGCACGTTCGTCCCCCTGCATATATACACCGGGACCGCATCATGTCAGGGAGCTGCGTTGCAGGAGACCAAGAGAAGAACTAAAAATACCTCTGGGATCAGTGGTTGGCAAAAGGCATATATTTATTTGACGCATGTCATGGTTTTATTTTGGTTTTGGGTGTTGGAACAGTTCCTAATCGCGAGTCGGGGAGAGCGCTAACAGGTTTCTCATCCTCTGCCCTTGCAGATGCCGGTGTGCTCCTACTTCTTGAAGGGGATCTGCAGCAACAGCAACTGCCCATACAGCCATGTCTACGTGTCCAGGAAGGCAGAAATATGCCAGGATTTCCTCAAAGGTTATTGCCCCATGGGAGAAAAGGTAAAGAGGGGACCAGCTCTCGGGGTCCAGGGAGGGATGCGCCTTTGCCGAAGCCAAAAGCTGTTTTTCACACCAGCTACGGTGCTGACGGGAGCCGTAGAGCAGGAAGCTGCTCGACACCTGGCTGTGATGAACAGCAGTCCTGTGCTTTTCCAAAGGGCGATGGGCAAAGTGGTTTGGCTGTCTTACTGGCAGGAAAAAAATAGGAAACAAATTAAAAGGCTGCAGCTCGCAAACGTGATGGCATTTCCCCAGGGAGACCTCTCTGGGGTGTCCGTGTTACACCGGAGTCCGGTCCCTGAGCCGATAACACCTACCCTGAAAATTGCTCAGTTAAATAGATGAGAAGCGAAGGAAAAGGCTTATGAGTCCCTGTTTACGTAGAAAAACCACAGACATCGATGCTTATTTTGCACGTTGGCTCCGTGACGGGTTAAAACTTGAGCCTTAGATCTTGTGGCTCAGTCTTAGCAGCACGACCAGCCTTCCTCGCGTAGCCTGCAGCAGCTGAGCCTCAAGCTGTGCTCAGTTACGGACCTGGCGGCTTCACGGAGCCCACCTCCAGGTCCTGGGAGCGTTCTGGTTTAGCTTAATGCAGTGAAGTCCTACATGGACTTTACATGCACCCTGGGTTGACTTGCAACCTCATCCGTGAGCTTACGGCACCCGACGGAACACGCAGAGTTTGAAAGAGAGCAGCTTTCCTGGAGCGGTACCTGGAGCCGGCTGCCGCTTGCTGGTTTCTGAAAGAATTTTAGAGCTGTTACATGCCAAAAAAAAAAAGAATTTTGGGGTTTGTCTGACATCTCGTGGCTCCCCCCTTCTTTGTAAGAAGTTCTACAGTTCCTCAGTGGGGCAGAGCCACACTGCAAGATCTCACCTCTTCTTGATCAGTGGCTAAGGGAGAGGGTTGGCTGTGCTGATGTTCCCCTGGGGATCGAAGCGACCGTCCTATCTGACTCCTCTTTGCTGTTCTCCATTAATTTAATATTTTTGCCTCTTAGTGTAAACCACTCTTTTGTTACTAGAGCATGCAGTTTCATTTGGGACCTGTGAACAAGATATGGGCCACCTTCACTTGGTTTCTCCAGCTGCGTCCAGCTCCGGGGTCCTCAGCACAGGAGAGACATGGACCTGGTGGAGCGGGGCCAGAGGAGGCCACCGAGATGCTGGGAGGGCTGGAGCCCCTCTGCTGGGAGGACAGGCTGGGAGAGTTGGGGGGGTTCATACTGGAGAAGAGAAGGCTCCGTGGAGACCTTCTTGTTGCCTTTCAGTACTTCAAGGGAGCTTCTAAGAACGATGGGGAGTGACTTTTTAATAGGGCCGGGAGTGATAGGACAAGGGGTAATGGCTTTAAATTCAAAGAGGGGAGATTTAGAATAGATATTAAGAAGAAATTCTTGACTGTGAGGGTGGTGAGACACTGGCCCAGGTTGCCCAGAGAGGTGGTGACTGCCCCATCCTTGGGAACATTCCAGGTCAGGTTGGACGGGGCTTGGAGCAACCTGGGCTGGTGGGAGGTGTCCCTGCCCATGGCAAGGAGTTGGACTAGATGGCCTTTAGAGGTACCTTCCAACCCAAACCATTCTATGATTCTGTGATTTCCTGTGCAATGTTGACCCATCTCTATGAACCCAACTGGAGAATGGGAGCCATCCTCTTCTCTCGGTCTTCTTCTCTCTGGGGAGTTTGCTAGTCGCCTGTAGGGCACATTTGGTATGGAAAAAAAACATCATATCGGTGTCCTGGCGTCGTTCAGTCACTTCCATAAGCCTACAGCAAACGAACAGGAGGAGACAGTGAAAGCCTCATCCTTGAGCTGGAGACTCCAGGTACCACGTTGAAAACATGATGGGAACTTTGTGAGCACTGCTTTAAATTGGCTCTTTGGCTGAAAAACCGAGCCGCTAATGAAACGCTCGTTTTGTTTGCCTCAAGTCTCCCAGATCGCAGGGCACCATCCCAAATTCACCCCCGTGGGCCTACGGAACGATGTTATTTTATTGCATTTAAGAGATAACGCATGAATAAGTGTCTGCCTAAGCGTGGTTTTGCTTAGACTCGCTGCGCCTGGAGATTTCCAACTCCCTTGTGACTTTGACTGCTTTCCACAAGTTGCTGGAATGAGCAACTGGACAGTCTGAAGAGTTGGGCAGAGAGGAACCTAATGAAGTTCAACAAGGGCAAGTGTAGGGTACTGCACCTGGGGAGGAATAACCCCATGCACCAGTACAGGTTGGGGGCTGACCTCCTGGAGAGCAGCTCTGTGGAGAGGGAGCTGGGAGTCCTGGTGGACAACAGGATACCCATGAGCCAGCAATGTGCCCTGGTGGCCAAGAACGCCAATGGCATCTTGGGGTGCATCAAGAAGAGTGTGGGCAGCAGGTCGAGGGAAGTCACCCTCTCCCTCTGCTCTGCCCTGGTGAGGCCACATCTGGAGTATTGTGTCCAGTTCTGGGCTCCCCAGTTCAAGAAGGACAGGGAACTGCTGGAGAGGGTCCAGCCAAGGGCTCCAAAGATGATGAGGGGACTGGAGCATCT